GCATTATTACAGCTGCCTTTCTGGATTCATTTAATGCACAGTGAAAAAAATCTAGTCTCTTATTTTTATTCTTCTTATGTCTTTATTTTTAAAATATTTCTTAAACGAAGCAGATTGTGGAGTTTTGTTTTATGCAATCTGTCACTCTTCTTTGTTCTACTGGATTGTTCCAGTATTCCATATTTAATGTTGTAGGGTGTGTTTATATTTTCCTCCATTCATCTCTAAGTTTTTTAAAGTTATGATTTTCCCCCTTTTCTGCTGTAAACACAATTCTTCAGTTATTTTAGTTTAATTTTTAAAAATTTTTCTTCACCCTTGAACCCCACTCCCATTTGTTCCCCCTTTTCTCTTTGGACTTTTGCTTATTAGTTTCTTTTTCTTTCTTGCTTTTATCTGGATAATTAATTCTGTCCTTCTTTTTCCCCCTGTCATTTACTCAAGCAGAATCTCCCTTCTCTTCCCTTTCAATTTGCTTTGTTCATTTGTTTTTATAAATTTCATTTTCTGTGCTTTTTTTCTAGGATGTTTCCCTCCCCTCCCCTTCACTCTCTTGATTGTTTATCTTTCCCTTCTATCTAGTGTAGACTTTTATTCTTTGGTTCAAAGCTATTATCATTTAGTTCTGTTTTTATCCCGTATTCCTCATGAGATTAAAACTTTTGATGTACCTACTTTGGGTTCTCCCTTCTAGTGGGTTATTGTCTTGCAGTTTGCTCCCTGAACCCTTTTTCTCTCTTGTGCCTTGCTCTTAGAGAAATGCCAATTCACGCAGGTGACGGAGAAGATAATGGCCCTGGGTGGGATTCTTCCTGTGTCCTTGATGATGCTGCTTATCACTGACCTTTGCCCTACCCTGGGTAATTTTCCCCATTTGCCTCAAAATCTTTCCTGGGTCTGTCCATGCCCTCCCCTCTCTTTTGGGTGTCAGTTGCCTTCAGGAGCTCTGATTCCCCTTCTCTTGAGGCAGAATTAGTGGTCTCTCTAAGCACCACATCCTTTCAGATAATATCCGTTGTAAGGTCCTCATTTCCCTTTCTAGACTATCTCTCTTCACCCATAGGAACCCTCATCAGTGGTAACCTCTCCCACCACTGAAGCAAGGTTTCTCTTTTCTCCTCCCTCTTCAATCTCTTCTGTCTTCTTCCTGTTTTTATGCACCCTTCAATTTTATAGTTTAGTCCAACAAAAAGCACAAATTCACCAGTAGGCCAGGTGTTGTAAAGTCAAGTCCATGATATTTCAGGCATGCTTCTCCACCGTCACATCTCATTTGATTTCTGCTTTCTCTTTTGTATGTTTAGATAGAAGTCTCTCAGTATTGTCTCTGATGTTATCTTGTTCTAATAGTCCTTTGCTGCTTTCATTTACTTCTATTTCCTTTGAAACAAATAATCTCATTAGGTCTGGTTTTTCTATGGATGTTTCAAATGCTTCTTTATTATTAAACATCTTTTTTCCCCCCCATTTATGATTAAGCTCAAATTTCAACCACAATTCACGGGCTACATCTTGAGCACCATTGCTCTTTGGAACACATTAGTCCATTCCTTCCTGTTTTTTCTGGTGAGTGAAGAATAATCTTGTGTTATCTGAATTTCTTTTACTTCATATTGAAGGTCTTTCTCTTGGTCCTTTGCAGAATTTGTTTCTTAATGAAACTATTCAATTAAACCACTATGTGTCTTGGAGTTTGCAGCCTTGGGTTGTTTTTTTTTTTTTTCCCCTGGAGATGCTCTATGGATTCTTTTGCAGTCAGAGCAAATTTCTGCCATTTGGAGGGTGGATCTTTGTGGCACTAAAAGGAAGCTAGGGGTAAGGTATAGAGTTTAACTCTATTACAAGCCCTGACACATATCATGCCCCATTCCCTCCGTTCCTGGCTGGGCTCTATTCAAGCACAGAACACTGCCATATGATCTTCTGCAGCCTCAGCAAAATTCTGGCCTTATGGAGTTTGGATTTCCCTGGCCCTGGAAAAGGGGGTGTGGGGGCATTGGAGTGTGGAGTCATGTTCTATTGCAAGACCTTGCTAGAGTCAGGTGGCTAGTGCCACTTTGCTGCTAGTAGCTTGATGAGCAGTAGGGGAGGAGATGCTGTGAGTAAATATTATGTATTAATTCATAGGGTTCTTACCTTTTAGGGGTACTTTGTGTCCTAGACCATGGCGAGAGCTGAAATTGATTTATCTTTGGTACATGATTTCTCTTTTGGAGAGATTTGATAGGGTTGTGAGGATTGGAGATAATGTGTGGTCCTCTATTTTGTTGGCCCTGTGACCCAGCAGTCCCGCGGACACTGAATCTTAATCAGTTGTAGGAGTCGAGCTGGTTTCCTTGAAAAGTGTGGTTAATTCTTTATAATAGTGGCAATTCCCATTATCAGTATTTGGCAGCTACTCTCTTATCAAAATTTCACTAATTTGAAAATTAAGTTTATAATTACATTTATTCCATTGTTTGAAATGGCAAGAGAAGAGCATGCTTAACATGATATAATGTGCTGGCCTAGGGTAAGGGAGGAAAATTACATTGTCTGGTTGCTACCTTTAAAGACAAAACAAACCCTCAAAAAAACACTGGGATCCCTTCTGCTTCTCCAAAGAAGGTTCTGTAGGCAGAAGAGATCCCATTTTCTCCTATGACAAAGCTTTTTTCGATGTTGTGTCTTGGGCACATTCCCTGAGGCTTCTTAAGTCATTAAATTCCTATGATCTGCAGCTAGTTTTAGGAGCAGAGGTAGGCAACACACTTTTAATCGATAAAAGAAATCAATATTTTAAGTCTCAAGCCATAAACAAGGAGCAACAAGAGGCATGTAACCTTCTAAAGATCAGTACATTTTAGGAAAAAGGACCTTTTATTAAAACTATACGTTAGGCCAATTGAAAACCCCTCTGCAATGATAATATATGGGGGGTCCTATTTTGCTTAAAACTGGGATAAATTCATCTTAAGAAAATGAATGCATCTTAGACTGGATAAGTACAATAGCCTGCATGCTGGATATTTGAGATTTTATTTCATTGTCTATAAAGAGGCTGTCATTTAATTAACTAAAACTATATATTTACCAGTTTATTGTTTTTCTGTCATGTCTGACTATGACCCCATTTAGGGTGTTCTTGGCAAAGACAATGGAGTGGTTTGCCATTCCCTTCTCCAGCACATTTTACAGAGGAGGAAACTGAAGCAAACAGGGTTAAGTGACTTGCCCAGGGCCACACAGCTAGGAAGTGTCTGCAGCTAGATTTGAACTTAGGAAGATGCGTCTTCCTGACTCCAGCCCCAGTGCTCTATCCACTGTGCCTCCTGGTTGGCAGTTTGTATCAAAATGCAATTTGGGTAAAATCTCGATGTCTCCTCTGGGTGTGCTTAGCATCATGCATCATCAAACAACTTAATTGACAAATGTGGCTTAAATCTATTTCCAAAGATTCTCATTCTAGCGCAGTTGTGTTATCTTTACAAAACTAAAATGACAGCCTCCAATCTAAGACCACAGTCTTGCATAAGCACCACTGGAAGCTATTCTACCGAAATACAAGGATGGGGCTTCTTGGCTACTGGAGGATTCGAGGTGAATCACTATCTTGCCCCGGGGTAGTGGAACTTTTCTCCATCCAGCCACCATGGACAGTGAATCAGCTTTACACTGTGGGCGATGAGTTAAACAGGTGATGTGGGCCAGTTCTCGGGGACTCCTAGGAATGGAAGGAGTAGCTTTGTGGGTCTACACACTTGGTAATGATGTCACTGCTGAAACAGCATTAACCAGGGCAGTCGTATTTGGCACATTCATATCTCACTTCCTCATCCCCATCGCTATCACAATGACAGAGGCCCTCCTCAATGCTTGCCTAGACTATTTCAAAAGGCTTCTAATGAACCTTCCCTCCTCTTTTGTGGGCTGCTAAATAAGCTTACTGATGCTGGGTTCTCCTCTACCAAAAAAATACAATCTTCAGGGGCTCCTCTTGTCCCTGCCCAAAGCCTCTGCGTACCATTCAAGGATCAGTCTTACCTCGTGTTTTTCTCCTCTAGGTAATATTTTAATAAAACTAGACCACACTGTCTGTTACTGGACTGTACCTTGACTTCTGTCCACTTTGGGCCTTTGCTTACTGATCTTTCTTTAGGACTACGATGTCCTTTCTCATCTCTGCCTGCTGAATTCCTACCGATCCTGTGAAGCTGACCTTACATGGCACCTCCTTGAGACCTCCCATATCACAGCTGCTAATGCCAGTAGCTTGATGGGCAGTGAAGGAGGAGAGGCTGTGAGTAAATAGTAGGTATTAATTCTTCCTCAGACCTCGTGTGACACTGGGTTCTGTACCTTTACAAGGCACCTGCCATGGAAAATGTTGAATCCCAGGGATGTATTTCTGTTTTTTCTATGCCCATGAAGGCAGGAGTCCTGCCTGGTCCAAAATGGGATGTCTTCCAGGACCTAGCAGAATTCCTTTTACAAAGAAGGTGCTCTGTCAACTGATGTGGAAGGAATAAATGGAATTCCTCTGGTAGGACAGGGCATGTGTTTGACAAGACAAACACACACAGGCTCCTTTGGGAAGCATTTTGAAAAACTGCTATCCTTGCTTCAAAATGAGCGCTGAAATCTCCCAGACTGAACATGATCATTTCCCTTCATGCCAGAAACCTGACCGGGGACTTGGTCATCACTGTGTGGTCCTTCCAAAACTTGCGCGTCTCTGTGGGGTGATGGTAGTGGGAGAAGGAAGGCGTCAACTGCACAAGACTGGACGTGGACACTTTAGGGAGATTCCTTATACGAGGATGCTGAAACACACTAGGTTTGGCTGCTCCTCACTTCATTACCCCATTATATTAATCTCTCAAAGTAGAGGAGAAAAACTATGTGGAATTCATTTCTGAAAACAGAAATTACTAATATAACTGGATCTATCTGGTAAGGAGAGAATGAAGTCCACAACATCACTATAAAAAAATTCTTTAATATGCAAATTGCTGCCCAGCTTAAAATTCAACATCACTGAGTTCTATTTAATGCCATGTCTTTCAAGGCCAGGTTGAACTGTTCACTTGACACGAAGGGCCCAGCGTGCTACTAGTAAGACTGTGAAAAGAAGGAGGTGGTTGCTGGCACTTTGTTCTAGCTCTGTGACGTCCGCCATGTGCAGGGATGTTAAGTGTAAACCAAAGAAGGTTCGCTGGGCTGACAAACATCATCAGCAAATAAATCTTCTGGTAGTTCCTCTCCATCATCTTTATCAGGAAAGTAGGTAGGGAATGGTAAATTTTTGGCGAAGTCTTTATAGGGAGGCAGGGCAGAATCTCGGATCTAGGAAAAGAAGTAATACATTACTAACCAATGCTGCTACTAAGTTGACTTAAGTGCCGATTGCCCTAAGAATTATGTCAAACAAAACAACACCCCCTTTTGTTCCAGTTTGAGAGATAAGACAAACACTGATCTGTTGCCGGTGCGGTGCTCTGCTCTCCTCTCCTTGCTCAGACGTCTGATTATCAACATTTTGTTGACCTGCGGCCATCCCAAGGATCACTGCTCTCCCCAATTAACAGGAATTTTCAATTCAACAGCACCCCTTGTAGTGGCGCATCACATACAAAATTCATTCACTCAAAAGCTTGTCATTCAGCCATGTCCGAGGCTTGGTGCCCCTATTTTTCGGGGATGGGATGGGGTGAGTGTGGGAGGGGCGGTGGGGTGGTAAAGATACTGGAGGTTTGCCATTTTCTTCTCCAGCTCATTTTACAGATGAGGAACGAAGGCAAATGGGGTGAACTGACTTGCCCAGGGCCACACAGCTAGGAAGTATCTGAGGCCAGATCTGAATTCATGAAGATAAGTCTTCCTGATGTCAGGCCCAGCATTCTATCCACCATGCCACGTGGCACTCAAAAAAGCAAATATTAAATGCCTATTATATGCAAGAGTTTTAGAAAGGAAGGAGTTGATATAAAATCTACTGGCCTAAAAGCCTCTTAAATGTTAATCTCTACCTCTTGATAGATAGCAGGCTGTTCCGTGAAGCTGAGAAATGAAACTATACCTCATCTGAAATCTTAAAATGCAATTGGAAATGTGGGTCTGAGATACGATCAGTGTAAGAAGTGTGTGTGGTGTGTATGTATGTGTATATATTTTTTTAACGAGGCGACTGGGGTTAAGTGACTTGTCCAGGGTTACACAGCTAATAAGTGTCAAAGGCTGGATTTGAATTCAGGTCCTCTTGACTCTAGCACCAATGCTCTATCCACTGTGCCCTCTAGCTGCCCCTTATATCCATTCCTCTCCCATACTATTCTGAATCTTCATACAGGCCATTTCTTAATGGTGACACATTTCTGTTACTATTTATAGTGCTAAATAATAGTTCAAATCCAGCACCAGACACTTCCTAGCTGTAGCTCTGGGCAAGTCATTTAATCTCTACCTCAGTTTCTTCAACTGTAAAACAGGGATGGGATCACACTAGCTCTTACCTCACAGGGCTGGTTGTGGAGATGAAATAATTCTAAAGCGCTTACCACAATGCCTGGCACATAGTAGGTACTTAAAACGTGCTTATGTCCTTGTCCTTCTCTTCATAAAGAGTCAAGGATACTTTATATACCTTATCTCTGGTGGTGATTCTCTATTATGCTATGATATTATGATGTTACCTGGTAATTCACAGAACATTTAGTTACAGTAAAAATATTGGTATGTTCTAAAATGTTGGTAATATTTTTGGAAAAAAATACCCCTGATTTCTCGACAGCATTTGAATCATCTATAGTCCTCATTCGGAGAGAATTTTTTAAAATTACATATAATTATACACACAGAGAGAAAAATGAGGCATAATCATTTTGGCAATAAGAAAATGAATAGCTTGGTTGAAATAAGTACACAGCTGCTGTACCTATAGAAAAACAGAACTATTTTAATCTCTTTAAAATTGTTCATGAAATTATTAAAATAACTTAAGCTACTTTTCTTATTTCACTAAACTAGAATTTAATTTCAATAAAAGTCCTACTCTTATACTTAATAAGGTTAAAAATTTCAAAGGTTTATACAATACATTTCCCATTGGAATGATGTTATCAAACTACACCTTAACAATCTTTAAGAGTAAGGGGCAGCTAGGTAGTGCCGTGGATAGAGCACCGGCCCTGAAGTCAGGAGGACCTGAGTTCAAATCCGGCCTCAGACCAAACACTTGACATTTACTAGCTGTGTGACCCTGGGCAAGTCACTTAACCCCAACTGCCTTAAAAAAAAAAACAATCTTTAAGAATCAAGTGTTAACCAGGTTGAAAGTCGTGAGGTTTCCAATAGCAATGGAGCTTGGTCAATGTGGTAGACACTCCACCCCTCTACTGCTGCCCCCAGCCCCCCACTTCATTGTAGATTTTTACTATAAGTCAGAAAACAGGTAGAAATACCCAACAATAAAACTCTCTACACTCACATTAATCTATGCTATGACCACATCACTTTTAGTGTACAAAATGCAGCTTTCTAAGAGGGGAACACAAAACTCAGTGGCACCAGTGGCAGTGCTGAAGGTCCACATTGTGACAGGGCGTGGCAGTGGCTTAGAAGCAGGGACGGTAAAGTGACAGCTCATCTCTCAGAGCACAGGCTTGCCAAGGCAGAGAGACGCAAGTTGTGATGGAAGGAGAAAGCAGGGAGATGAGAGAAGAACTATTGTGTGTGAGAAACAGGACAATCAGATGGAGGCCAGGTGTGAAGGGCTTCAAAAGCTAACCAGAGGCGATGGAATGGACAAGAGTGGTGACACAGGTGAGTCAGGGAGACCAACTGGGAGGTGAAATAATCCAGGCTGGAGGTGGTGAAGGACTGGGGGCCAGTGGTCACTGTGTGAGTAAAGAGAAGGGGTCACAGGAAAGATGTTGTGGGGACAGAAATAATGAGATTTATTCAGTGACTGGAGGTTCAGGACAGAGTGGGGAGTTGAGAATGAATGTGGGAGACTAGAAAGTTATGTCTTCAACAGAAACAGAAGTTTGCAAAAGAGGTGGGTTTGAAGGCAAGATAATGATTTATCTTTTAGACATTCTACATTTGAAAGCTCTAAGAGGAAGGATGTCAGGAAAGTGACTAGGTCTGGCTAGCTGGACATCAGGACTATGGGGAGAACTGAATCCACCCATTTCCCCAATCGAATTAAGTCCCCCCCACACCAGATCTCCCTGTGACCCACAAGCGTCGCTCCCTTCCACACTAACCTCCTCAGCTAAGAACCTACCTTCTTCCTTCACAGAGGAGACTGACACCATTCTAAGTGAGCTCCCTTTTCTCCCATTCTCTTAATCTCTACCACTCTGCCTCCTTTCCCCCAGCTGCTGATGAGAGGTGGCCTTTCTCCCTGCCACGGCCAACCTTCTCCATGCACCTTTGGCTTCATTCCCTTCTATCTTTTCTGTTCTAGGTTCCCCCATTTGTACCTTCTCTGCTGTATGCTCCCTCCTCCCAGGGCTCACCACATCAATGCTGGACTTTGTAGAGACAAATAATTGACTCTAGCCCTACCACGGTTGTGACTCCCAAGCTCAAGAAATCGACCAGCCTCTCGGGGAGCAGGCATTACACGTGTAAGCCATCACGCCCCACTTCATTTCTCTCTTCTGAGGACCCACCTACCTAATCCAAGAAAGGCACACCACAAATATGTGATAAGAATTCTTTTCTGGGGGAGGGGATCATGGAAACCCATGAAATAAAGAAAAATAAAACCAGCTCTTGGTCCTATGTGTCTAGGGGGAGGAAGAGGGGAAGTGGGAGCTAAGAATCTTGGTTTCTAGACTGCCCACAAACTTCTACTGGAAAGCTGCTACATCAGCTGACTTATCATCAACTGCGATGACGTCTCCTCAGCTTGGCGGGAGGACAGCCCGCAGACACTCGGTCACACGGGACCTGGAGTTATCACATCCTGCAGGAGAAGTGACGACACATGCCCAAGGATCATCACAGAAATAATTCAGGTTTATGCACTAACAGTGAATGCAGAATAGCAGAGAAATTCTATGACAAACTTGATAAGACCCTCCAACATATGGCCCCTTAAATGCAAAGGTGGGAAATGGGGAAGAGAAGGGCAAACACAGGAGAGTGGCCAAAGCTTGAGAGGACTTGGAGAGTCTACAGAAACCTTACTCCTTTATAATGTGAACGCTTGCTTTCAAAAAGTAAATGCGACACTGGAAAGGGCAAAGCAACAAAGAGAGAAGGAAATAAAGCAGGCGATGGCACGCAGTGGCCCACAGGGCGAGTCTGGACCACTGGCTGTTTGTGTACAGCCTGTGAGCTAAGAAAGGTTATTACATCTGAGGAATTAATGTTCCTCCATTCTCACTCAGGGCAGTAAACTCTGGATCATTTAACTCCAGACAGTGAAAAAAAGTATACTTACCTTTACTAAGCAATTCTTATGTCCAGGCACAGAGCCATTCACATAGATGACATTGTGTTTTGTGTTTATCCTCCACACCTAGGGCATAAAATGAAAATTAAAGTTTCAATCACATAACTTTGAAATCTGCTTTCTACAATCACATAGGAGCTTCAAAAGTGAGTCCAAATGCTTTCATGAGCTTTGATGAAGTACAAGGAAAATGATCACCTATAACACATCCTCATATTGGTCACTCTAAGAATCAAACAAGTACTTTACACCGTTAGAATACAAACTGCAGGAAAGCATAAGCTATATCATGTATCTTACAGGTACAGTGGACCATTTTTTCCAAATGTAAACCATGGTAAAATGACCATAATCCTTTGGACTTTGCTGTTGGACCCTGCACTGTCACCAACGACAAAGCTACTATCTAAGCAAACTTTTTTGAAGTTATTTAAGGTCTTAGGAATGCTATCAAACAGTGAAGCAAACTGTTTAGTGTGTGTGCTTTACTTGGAAGAAATCATCTTGTTTTAAGTGATGGAGGCTAAGTACCTTTCCTGGTACCTCTCAATGACAAAAAGCTCCTGTCATTGTGGCTCTCTAAGAAACCAGAGGAGGGGGGCAGCTAAGTGGCGCAGTGGATAGAGCACCAGCCCTGAAGTCAGGCAGACCTGACTTCAAATTGGGTCTCAGCATATAACACCACTAGTTGTGTGACTCTGGGCAAGTCATTTAACCCCAACTGCCTCGCCAAACAAAACAAAACAAAACAAAACAAAACCAAAAAAAACCCCAGAGGAGGCCAAGGTTCACTCTTCTGTCTCCCCAGAGGATAACTAGTTCATTATGCTTCATTTAGATAGACAGGAACATTATTTCATCACACTTTGATTCATGAGAAGAGGACTGACTTAGTGCATGAAAACTGAAGTAACATAATTAGGGTTCTGCCAGCCAGCACCTTCCAGCTCTACAACCAACTGTAAGGAGTATAGGATTTGGAGCTGGATGGGGAATCGGAGGTCGTCTGCAACCTACTGAAATTCTTCACTTGACAGATGAGGGAGGAATGTGGTTCAGAGAACCTGCACCTTGCCCAAGGTCACAACAAAAGTGTTTTGAGATTTATTTGAGACTTTTCTTCTGCAATTTATATGAGACTGCTATATGGGATCATCATTCATGAAAGGTGAGGTTGGTTTAGAAGATACTGAAATAAAAATAAAGTTTGTTTATAAATTTTTTAGAAGAAGCATTCAAGATATTCTTTGCCCAAGTTGAAAAACTTCCAACTCTAAACAGAAGGCCAATCAGCTTCTGACTTTCACCAGGTAAGAACTCAATTTGTTGAAAACAACTCAACTTGTATATTCTGAGTTCTAACAGGGGGTAGATTAGGCATCTCTACAGATTTACAGATGATTTATTCCAAGGAAATCCAACTACATTTATATCATTTAGGATGATAGTATTAGTGAATTATTAATTATTTCTAATACCTTTAAGGCTACACGCATAAAATTTGCCAACTGCATACAACTGCAAAGCTGAGGCAAACACATATGTAACTCTCTCAGGCTAATTCTTTTAAAAATGCCAGATTCTCAAGATTAATCCGTACTTTTTCATTAAAAAAACAAAAACAACAACAAAAAAACCAGTATTTGGTGTACTTCTAAAAAGCAAAACTACTGGAAGAACCACATCCAGGTATATATGAATATATCTTGGCATCTTTCTACTTAGTGCAAATGTTCCCAGAACGTATTTTATTTACATGTCCAAATCTCACCTTCAGTCCAAATTCTGTTCGATATATGTTACCCATTTTACCAGGCATTTTCTTTCCAGGCCAAACTCTGGCAATGTCCTATAAGAAAAAAAAAAGAAAAAGTAAATTGAATCTGATACTTTCTTGATTTCTAAGGGCATTTATTAAATTTTAAAATCCTTTACATCAAAAGATGTTAAATAGTCTTTTCCCCCTAATGGTTATTTGTGAAATACCCTTAGTAAGTTACATATCCATTCAAAAAATACTTTGTCTAAAAGGATTACTTTCTAAATTAGACTGACAAGATAAAAATTGGATGAGACAGGGAAGAGATTTTACCAGAGATGTCAATGACAGATTGTACTGCAATGACAGACTCCTAGCTGCACAGGTGGTACTTAGGAAAAAGTAATAAAGAAAAATCAAAGGACCTTCCTACAATACAGTTAGTCCCTAACAGAAGAAAAGAGAACAGCTCTCTCTTGTTACGCTAAGAGACCACCATCTACCTGAGTCCCACCTTTCTGAATGGCCCCAATCCTCTCATTCATTCTTTTGATGTTACTTTTTCCTTAAGGCCAGGGGTCAGTACAGGACAGAAGCAGTTCCAGGAGAATGAGTCTGTTTGCCCAGTCGTGGTAATATCTGATTCAGGTAATCAAACAGCTTCCCCAGTCGAGGCCAATTTGAATCTAATGCTGGATGGCTCTAACAGATTGGGCGGCCATCTCACACAGGAGCTGTGCAAAAGCTTCCCTGCAGCATGTGGATTCTCAAGACATAAAACTTCTTTAGGTGTTAATAAGTGGAGAAGACTCCAAGATAAGGCTGTACGACCACGTTATCTGAGACTTAGCACTTAATAACACTTAATAACTCCTGCACTAAAGTCACCCCAGAGGCAGCAGCTGGAATAGGAGAGAGGGGGTTGGCTCCAAGTTCTGCCTCCAACACATTCCAGCTCTGTGACCTTGGGCATATCACATAATGGCCTGAGGCAACTTTCTAAGGATATAAGGAATAGGTCTGCTGCTGTTTTGCAGGGTCAAAGGAATTTTCCATATGGGGAATTTCCTATACTGCTAAAATCACAGATCTGAACCAAAACAATCTAGATTTAAAAAAAAAAGTCTAAAATTTCATGCACCAAGTTCTTCACAGTATTAAGCTGAATACTTTTAGACAAGACCACCTGATTAAAAGCTCTACCCTCCCAGCCACACTATGATCAGTCACCATCACCCCTTGACCATCAGAAGTCAGAAGGTAAAGAAGGATCTCTTTGTACCAGCTGGCTTTCATCCATGACTCTATAGCCATCCTTCAACAGACCATCTGGAAATGATAAAGTTGTTCAGGTGATGGAGGTAGACTCTGCACCTCCAGAGGTCCACATTTCCATTACTCCATAAGGCCTCTTGGTTTATAGGACGGGCACAGCTTGCTTTAGACCCATTTTTACCCCCCAAATTTGGGGGCGTTAATAAAGTCTAGAACCACAGCCATTGACTAGACCTCCTTTGTTTCTTCAATGGCAGCAGAAACAGCAGTTTCTATCACCTGTGTGCACTGGAGGAGGCTATGGCCATAGAATCTGTTGTGGTTGCAAGGTACAGAAGGAAAAGCTCCTTTGGATGCCATGAGCTTCAGGTGCCCCCACAAACCCTGGCTCACAGCTCTTAGACGTGGGTGTCTCCCTGAAAAGCACTTAATGCTCCCCCAACCCTGTCCTGGAGCCTGCTGGCTTTGCAACTGAGAAGAGTAGAAAGTACCCGTTTGTGTTGGCTTCCTCCAGAGCTGAAGAATGCCTACAGTTCTCTGCTTCCAAAACAGAGTAGTGATAGGAACTAATCTTTTAGTGTATTCGTTGAATACACTTAGATGTATAGACATTTTCTTCCTTTCAAAGATTTATTAGTTTCTGCACACTATCTATATTCTGGGACAGCCTATTTGGATTAGTATGGTCTGAGTTATTGAAGAAGATAAAAAGGAAGCTGGTACTCCCAAGATTCCTTTGAGCAGTAGAGGTAACATATGGAAAATCAAGGTAATGATACACTGTTCTCACTCCTCATTGTATGCTTGTACCTAACTCTGGGGTGATACTCAATATCAACTCCCGATAATACTTCACTGATTCCACTTCCAGACTGTGGTACCTGAAGAAGAGGCAAGATCTAGGTTATAAGGACAAGTATGAACGCATGCAGGGAGAGGGGAGCCATTAGTCTAAAGAAAGCCCAACATTCATGTTTCCATTCCTCTCTTAATGAGCAAGCAGCTCGTCTCACAGGGTACCATGACTGAGGACAGACAACTGCAGAAGGCTAGGTGGAAGACAACAAGTTGGGTCTTCTCTCTGTTCCTTTTTAAACCACTCCTGACATCCTTTTCTGATTTTCCTGCCTTGGTCCCATTCTTTATTTTTCCATTTCTTCTCTCCTCCATCTCCTCAAACAGTGGCACAAATGCCAAGTTTGGAGTCAGAGGACTTCTGCTTGAGTCCCAGCTCTGCCACTAACAAAATCTTTCCGGGCTTCAGTTTCCTCCTTTGCAAAATGAGGGGGTTGGACTCCATGACCTCCCCAAACCCTTCCATCGCTTAAGTCTATGATCCTCAACTGCTTCCAGTTGATCACCCACAGGTCATGTGGACTCCTGATTGTGAAGTAGTCCATCTTAGCACATACACAGAGATGAAAGGAGGGAGAACTGAAAGGGTTACAACTTAGGTCTTCCAGGAAGCCAAACACCTTTATAGTTATCTCCTAATTTTATGCAGAATGGAATCCACACTGATAGGAAGGGAGCAGAGGCCATCACGAAGCCCCAACTCACTCTGGAAATTCAGGCCAACATTTTAGGATTCAGTCCTTCAAGGCTATATGTCAATCCTTGATTCATCTCAAAATCTTCAACGGATTCCTAATGATATCAGTGTAGGTGCTGCCATGTCAATCACAATCCTCCATGCTTTTCTCATCTAGACTATACATCCCTTTGAGTATCGCTTCCAAAGAAGACCACCCCAACATGCTAGACGGACGGCTTCATTTGGTTGTTTTAATATTTCCCGTACGATATACCAGTGCTCAAGCTTATCTCTCCTTCTCTCTCCATAACTAATCCACTTCCTTTTCTTACCACCCATATCACTGGTGATGTCTTTTATGGTCCTTGCACATCTATCATGGCTGACCACAAGCTGTAGCCTAAAACCTACTCATACTCCTTAAATGTCTTTGCTTAGAACACTTAAATGAGAAAATACTCATAAAGGCACAGTGCCTGGCACAGAGTAGGCACTTAATAAATGCTTATTTCCTTCCTTCCTTTCTTCACCCCAGTCACTGGCAATCCTGACTCTTCAAAGGTTGTGATGTGATATCCCGTGATTCGGTGGCATCCACCACCACTGGAAGAATGCTAGTTTTAAAAAATTAGGTTTGGGCAGTGGCGAGGAATCACCTGAAAGCATCTTCTTGTTCCCCAAATCAGTATCCTCTTTTCAGTATTACTCTAGGACACATGCACTGATCATCTAACTAAATGGGCTGCTCATGCAATTACATTTCAAAATCTGAAAAATGCTGGGTATAGACTGTACAGACGTGACCTCTGTTCTTGGCCCCACCATTTACTAACTTGTGTGCATGGGGATGAGTCACTGATCTCCCCGAGTCCCACGCTGCTCATCCAAGGTGAAAGAGTTGCACTAAATGCCCTCTAAAATCCCTTTGAGGGGGCAGCTAGGTGGCGCAGTGGATAGAGCACTGGCCTTGGATTCAGGAGGACCTGAGTTCAAATCCAGCTTCAGATACATAACACTTACTAGCTGTGTGACCCTGGGCAAGTCACTTAACCCCACTGCCTACCCTAAAAAAAAAATCCCTTTGAGCTTTAAATATAAATCTATATTTCAGTATAGAGCCATCAACTTTATTTTTCCTACACTAGTACAATTTTGCAAACAAACATGAATTCAGTGAGGAGGCAGCAAGGTATTTCATATCTAGATCTAATTAACAAACTTTTACCCACAGAACTTCTCTTTCAATAAAATCAGTTTAAAAATTCAGATTCCTGAGGTTTACAGCTGTAGAATGTGAGGTCTGGTAAGTTCTATGGAGAAGGAAAGGTGCAAGAAACCCACTGGTGGCCATTCACTGACCAACCTTCCTAAACTCCAAGGTCCTCCTCCCACCAGACACTGGCCATAAAATGATGAGTACCTGAGACCACGGCAACTCATTACAACCTATTCCAACATGGAGATGGTTCTGAGCCGCTCCAGAACTGTGAGTTCCCCCACGAATTATATGATGGTTATTCTAAAGAGGGCGTAGACAGGAAAAAAAAAAAGCCTGTCTGTTCTTACCCCAGTTGCTATTGCTCCGGGTCTTCTGTGGGTTTTGGTCTGACCATGACTGGCGGGTTGTCCTTTAAATCCCCACCTTTTCACGACTCCTTGAAAACCTTTGCCAATTCTGGAACCAAACAAAAGGATGACGGTTTAAATTATGAATAAGCCTATAATGCTCTCACTTACCTCATGGCACCTGAGAATTTTAGCAAAGGTCATTATCTTTTACAGCCTTAGCCTAGCAGTTCTTAAACTTCTAACAACCCGACAATTCTGACCAAGACAGATATGTGTATTTAACAGCTCACACACCCTTAGCCTTATCTTGAATTTTATCCTTTCCTGTCCTGTCATTTAATGTGATAAAAATAAAAATATCACTGTTAAAGATCATGACATTATTGTAAGGTAAAAAGTACAATATCATTATTTTACACAGAGTGGGCCTACATAATTCTGATAGTTTATAGGTTATAAAATTAAACTAAAGTGCTGTCAACCACAATAACACAGAAAGGAATGTTTGAATTTCTGAAACAGCAGCACTTTTAATAACATTTTAATTAAAAATTTTAGGTAATATAGAATTTTTAATTAAATTTTAAATAAAGTAGCTTTTGAATCTACAACTTATTCACTTTCTTCTTTTCCTATGCATTTTTATGTACTGATTAGTATACATATGAAGTCATGTAATATTGTTGCTAAATGCATAATTCAAAAGACACGCACACAAAAATATTAAGATTGCCATGTTCTTCTGTGTGATGGAAACTGAACAAAATGAGGTTTTCCTAAGCTTTTTTTTTATTGTGATCATGTAAATTATACACTTAGAAGAAATGAAGGAATAAGTTAGGATTATAGAGAGTTTTATCTTCATAGATTGGTAAGGGAAAGTAGTATTAAGAAGCTTTCTAAAAAGTAGATGTTGCTTTTAATCAGAGGTGTCAAATTCAAATAGAATGGGGGCCACTAAGTCATACATAACATTGCCTACGGGCTACATATTGACTTAGAAAACCATACATTAACATTATTTGTGTTCTGTTGTATTTTTATTTTGTTAAAATCTCCCAATTACAATTTAATCAGTTTCAATCACACTTGGGAGTGCTGAGGGTCTCATGTGTTTGACATCTTAGCTTTTAATAACTCAGAGTACTTAAAAAGCAAATGGTACAAAACTATTCCGGGGATCTGTGATATCAGTGATTTGAGTTCTTCCTCTTGCATCCATTCACCACTGCCATCCTCTGGCTTTTGTCCTCCTATAGATATGTCAAAGGGAATGGGCTGGGTTCCTTCTTTTCCCTTGGACATCACAAGAACAACAATGGAGCACATGAGCAATCCATTCCTTGCTCTTATCCTAAGACCAGCCAACCTTTTCACTTGCATATCTCTTTGATGACATCCTTTACAATCCTTGTTGGAAATGTGCTGCAGTCTACTCACACTCACCAGGTAGTGCCCCTGGATTACCCTCTGAGTGATAATCATTCTCAATTCTTCAGACAGCAGTACAGGATTCCAGGTGTTACAGCCACAACATACTAGTTTTAAAAGGTGAGCCTCTGTTTCAGAAAGAAGGTTAAAGGAATCCTGCCATCTCCAAAAGTAACACCTAGAACAATCTCCTTGTCTTGTTCAATTCTAGCCCTGACTCACTGTCCACACGTGGTGCCTGCCTAAGATGTTTGATGTCACTGTTGTATGGCCCAAGACATAAAGCTCATACAGTAATGATACCCCAAATGCCAAACTGAATTTCCTGTAAATTTTAGAAGTTGATAAATAGATTCATGAATAAAGTGGAAGCCAGGGAAATTTTTTTAAAAGTATGTGAAATTATATCCATTTCTGCTATGTCATTTCATCCTCAGATTAACCAGACATAATTTCATGGAAGAGTTGGAAGTACAAAACAAATTCTATCTCTACCTCTTCATATCGAACAGATGCAAGGTACTAGAAACTGCTGAAGTAAAATCCTATCTGAAACCCACGAATAGAAAATGCTATGTAAGAATTGTGAAAGAATCTTTTTGTAAAGTAAATAATTGATTTTCAATTTATATGCTTTGTAAGGTTTAATTTTTAAATACTGAGCTTCCTTCAATCATAGTACATGTAAAGTAAATTTCAAAATCAATCTACAAGTATTTATTGAGCATATGGGACATTATTCTAGGCACTATAATTACATGATATGTAATAATATATAAACTCTCTGTGGGTAGTAACTGTGCAACATTCTTTCAGACCCCTGATATGAGGGACCTAAAAGAAGAATGAGGCATAGTCAGTCTTCACAGGAAGTTTATAATATTGGGGAGATGAAAAGAATAAAAATAGTAATGGAGTTAAAAGCATGGTGCAATTTCCCAAATATAATCTAACTAACTATACTATGCCTAGTCAATTCTGAGACCAGTTTCAGTGTCTTATCTGCAGCAGTTGTCCAAGAAAAATACGCTGAGGGACAAGCTTTTGGGCTGTCTCTGTCTACATATCACTGTGTTTTGGTGGCTTACATAGACAAGTGTCCAATTATCTATCAAAGTAGATACATGAAAGAGGGACATATATTCCCCCAAAGGATTTGCCAATATCTTGTAATATGGCTAGGGCGAAGCTCAACTGAAAGAGTCCCAAAGATGGCACCGTCCTCAAGATGTTAATGTTTACAGATGACTTAAGACAGGCTAGTGGATAAAGACGTTGTTTTAGAGAAATCAACAATTGTGCTGCCTTTATAAAAGACGGTAGTTTTACACAAAAAGCTGTAGCTCAGTTGTTGAATCACCAGCCAATATTTGTACTAAGTTAGATTGTTTTACACCCTTCTGATACTCAATTACACACATACCAGGGTATGCATAACTATTTCATTTTTGCTTCAGAATCCAAAGTAATGCTTTTTTTTTCTGATCAAAGGGCTAAGATAAGCATCTGACAGTCACATAATATAAAATCTATACTCTATGACTAGATGTAAGAGACTGATTGAAGTTGATGAACAACATTTAGAGCAGCGAGGCATCAAACTCGGCCCTGGGCAGCTTGCTGCCCCTCCCCCCAGCCCCCCAAAGTACTTTCCAAGAAAAAAATGACATTAGATCTAAAACTGAAATCCCATTAAAAAATCTGCCTGTATTTTTACTGCCTAATAGTTGGTAGAAAGCTTTAGAGAGCTTTTCAAGGTAATTTTAGTTAAACTTATTCTCTTGACAAAACTCTTTCTCCCCCCCACCTTCCCTTCTCTGTAAATTATAGAAGATAATTTAGTTCACTTTAAGAATAAATGATCTAAGATGACAGTGGTGCACTAACAATACTAATTATCTATGCCTAATTACAGACTGTTTTTCAATCTAAATGTTCTACCACATACAATGGAAACCTCTTCAATAAATAACTTTAAACAAAAGGCTAAAAATCAGGCTTGCTAAATTACTGGCTTACTTGAGAGAACAGAGAATAGAGTACAACTGCTGATTTCTGGTTGATGCAGGTATTATGTGAACTTAGCATTTCTAACCATTCTTTCTACAGACAAAAATAAATAATAACCTTTACTTTGTTTAAATGGAAAACCTAAGAAAACAATCTGGTAAGTAATTTATAAGCATCTAAGACAACTTCACAGCAAAAGTTCCAATAACACAGGGGGAACCAGTGCAGGATGTCAGATAACAAAAAGTAAGAACAGGCTGAAAACTAGCTGGACATCAAGGGATGTTTCACAGTGTCATCACGAAGCCTTTCTAACACTTGCAAACTGTCCACTAGAAGGTTCTCCCTAGTCCTCAGCAGAGCACCTGGCACACAGTAGGTGCTTACTGAATGCATACGGATTGACTGCTACATGCACATTTACTCCCTTGTACAATCACTCAATCCATAGGCATGTATTAAGAGCCCCTTTCTCACCGGACCCTGGGCTAAATGACCTCGATACAAAGATGAAAACAAAACTTGGCTTCAAGCTTGCAGCTACTGGGGGAGAACAAGGGTTTATGCATGGGTTTATGGTGTTTTTTTTAAAGTATATACAAAAAAGTACAAGATTGTTTTGAAGAGGAGGGTGTTCTAACAGGCAGAAGATGGAACGTGAACTGAACAGTCATAGGAAAGAGATGGAGTGTCATGGGGAAGCTGTGAAGGCCAGTTCACCTAAGACATAATATGGCTGGAAAGGTAGGCTAAGGCCAGGCTTCTGAGAGCCTAATAGGACTCTGTATGTGACCACACGGGGAAGACGGAGTCCCTGTGCTCTAAGAGGATGGCTAGAGGCTGCTTGGAAGACTGTCCGGGGAAGGGAGGGACCTCAGCAGGGAGGCCTCCAAGTAGGAGGCCACTGTAACAACCAAGGTGGGAGATGCTAAACGCCTCAAAGAGGAGGTGGAAAGAAGGGGGCTTAGCTGAGGGATGGGGTAGCAGCACTAACAAGACTTGGCAATGACTGGCTAAAGAGGGAGAGAAAGAGAACAGGGCTTGAGGAAGAGCCGAAGGATCTGCAAAAGGGAAAGCGATTGGCTCAAGTCCCACACAGGTGACAATCTGATAAGCTAATCACAGAGCCTAGATGTCCCACTGCTCTTTGCAAATGGCCATCTTGTCAGCACCAACAAAGTCTGTGAATGCTGACCCTGAACAAAAAACAAAAAGCCTTCTGAAGTTAAATCCCCAGACAGCAAAACATATTTGCAATAAAGAAAACCTACCTACCATTCGCTGATCCTGAAATGTACTGCCCCCAAATGCTTTGCTCAGGTGATTTATAAGAAAAAACTGTCATGGATAGTAACATTTTATCTTCAAAAGTAATTTAAAAGATGAACCAATAGTTCAAGGACGTCAGGGCTTTTATAAGACTTGCAAATCCTACTATTTTGAAGTCTTCAAAGCCTTCAGAAGGCTTGCTAGCACCTGCCCTGTACCCTACATTCCCTCATATTTGCAAATATCTGAGAAGGACATACGTAATCAGCAAGTTATGACATTGTAGGGCTCTTTGCTCCATTTAAACATCCATTTACTGCTGAGGATTAACCCACTTTCATCCTTCAATGTTCAACCCCTCTTCAATCTCCAGACAACTGAACCTCTAACCTCAGAGACTGAGGTTAAGAAAAATGCCGGACAGGGAATCAGGAGAACTGAGTTTTCTTCCCAGCTCTGCAGCGGACGGTGTGACCTCATAAATCGCCTCCTTCCTTCCTGAATCTCAGTTTTCTCCTTTGTAAAATGCAGCGTTGGACTCTGTGACCTCTCATGGGATGATTCTTCACAGAGCTGACCAAGAGCTGACCAAAGCTGCCATAACTGCCCAGATGATTCCAAATGTGCAAAAACACCTTTTTCCCAACCCTGTTTTCTACATGTTTTCACGAGTGGAGAGGAGAACGGGGAGAATAACTGCTCCGTGCTGGACCACATGCTGTTGAGTCATTTCAGTTGTGTCCCACTCTCCATGACTCCATTTGGGGTTTTCTTGGCAAAGATACTGGAGTGATTTGCCAGTTCCTTCTCCAGCTTGTTTTACAGATGAGGAAACTGAGGCAAACAAGGTGAAGTGACTCACCCAGGGTCACACACCTAGGAAGTGTCTGAGGGCAGATGTGAACTCAGGAAGAGGACATGGTGCCAAACCTGGTGCTCCATCCACTTTGACACCTACTTGCCCCTTGCCACCTAGTGGGCCACACGGCTGACCCTAATTCAAAACGTACTCAGCGATGATCAGTTTTAAAAAACAGGAGCTAAGAGATGCTATGGATGGAATAGCTAGGCTTTTAGATTTCATTTTCATTTCCAAATAAGTAAGGAGCAACCATGGGGACATAAAGGAACGTCTTATCTATCCCCACTTCCTGGCCTACTTTCCATACACAAAGACCACAAATATATCACTGACACAGGTTCAAAGCTTATCCCAAGAGCTGACAGAGCAACTGCTTCATATTTACCAGAGGGGGAAAAAACCACCACTATCTTCTAAAGTCCTGGAGGGGAGAGGCCTAACTTCCATCACTAAAACCATACTACAGCAGTCATAGTAACACAAATGATAACTCAAACTGGCAGAATTTGATACAATGGAACCACTCCCACTATTAGGCCAGGAATAAACTCTAGAGTTTTGGGATTTGGTTTTTTTTTGGACAAAACCTACATACAAAGACTTCTTTGCATCAACAGTTTTCAAGTTAAACCCAGAGTGAGCTAGATAAAAGAGTTGTATTTCAAAGACCAGGACTTTCCAATGCCTTGTAACAGTGATGCTGTCAAAATCCTTCTATCAAAAATGTGTTTGATATATAGAAGATAGGGAGTCTCTCCTATGCTGCTGAAATTGAATCGAAATCTTCTCAAAACATTAAATGAGCAAATACCTACGGCAGAAAAATAAAAACAATCTGTTGTTGAGAATGTGGATCCCCCTCCTACTCCAAATCAGCTTCACATAAGAACAGTCACTCAGGATTTGGCATGTTTTGAAAAAGCATACTTAAAAATATCAATGCGTTTTTATTAGACTCAAAATACCAATTTCAACTTGATTACTTAAATAGAGAGTAGTATCCAAAGTACCTCAATACTATCTGAACTGACTTCATGTTGCTGTTATTATAAAGAATCTATTAAAGCATTTTACCTTAAAGAGTGGGTGGCCTCTAGCTTACCATCACACACACACACACACACACACATACATACACACACACACACACACACACACACACACACACACACACACACACACACACACACAGAGGCATTTAAAAAGCTACATGTAATTTGGATTAAAAAAGAAAAAGTCCTACTCGATTTTTAAAAGCCCTGAATAGCCTCGGGTCTGTGAAAATAAGTAAACAGATCCCACCTGCACCATGGTAATTTCTGCAAGCCCAAGAGAAAGTTCTTGCTTCTGTGTATGTCTTAGCTCAGCAACTAAATCTGGAACTTGAAGACAGTCAACGTTGGGAATATTTAAGAACGCTGGGAGACTCAGTTTTCCTTGCAGGCAAACGTCACAGTTTTCATTTCACAATCAAAACATGAACATTAGTATTAAGGAGGAAATTAGACTTCAATTTAAATCATTTTTTTCCTTTATCCAAAGAAAAGGGAGATACTGAAATTAGCCACTTTTTAAAGAATCCAATTTTCAGGTTCATTTTAACCAAAGTATTGGTATTAACATGATCACTTTTATATAGGATGCTACTTGAAAACACGAGCAAAGCAGTGAAATACTAGCTTCTTTATAAATGGCATTTTTGTGTTATAAACTGAACAAATTTAGAAGTAAAAGAGGGAAATGCCACGGTGAACATGACAAGGACAATGAAAGCGGCTCCATCAGAAAGGCCGTTTCAAGCCTTGCTTATTCTGTGGCACCTGAGTCTTCCTACTGTCTCAAAGTGACCTCCAGACCATCTCACTACACAAAGGGATCCAGAAAGGCCTCAAACTCCAAAGTGAAAAAAAAAAACATTTTTTCCATCAAAAGAGTCCTACCCAATGCTGTAGTCTGAAGGCAAGAAGACTTGCGAGGTTAATACTGGCCGTCTGCTTATACCTGTAATGGAACCACGTGAGGCCTCAGTTTCCTCATTTGTAAAACCAGGAAGTGTTCCTCAGTGACCTCGAAGGACGACCTCTACGGTCCTAAACTGACCCATTTGACCTTAGAAAAGCAGGAGCCAATAAATAAGTAACTCAAGTTGAAAAGTACAGGAGAACATAAGGGCATGGAGGCAGAAAATGAAGCAAAATCATGAAAGAAACATGGAGAAGGGCCTGGCTGAAGTCAACCAGCAAACCTGACCCCACCGCAGAAGAGAGTTGTGCTCACCCAAGAGGAAACTGAGGGCTCCTCTAGTCAGATCTTTTTCAAGGGCAAAGGGAATTTTCCCCAAGAGCTGATAATCATACTTCTAGAAATCCACACTGAAACTTTCACATACATCATTTCCACTAGAGTAATAGGTAATCTCATCATGTACTGAGGAAGGAATGGAAATTATCCGAAAAAGGCTCTGGCAAACCAAATCCTTGCCAGAGACACCAGAGTGGAAAGAGCACTTGGTTCAAGGGACCCAAGTTCAAATTGTGTCTGCCTGTATAACCCTGGGCAAGTAAGTCACCTGAATATGCTGTGCCTCAGTTTCCTATTTTGTAAAATAAGGAGGATAGGGTACATTCAGGTGTGACACATGCAGCCCCAGATTGAAAGCAAGCTACAACACTCCCAAATGGTGCCCATGCCAGATTAAAATATCATTCCTGTCTGATTTTAATGTTGATGTATTAATAAAAAAGTAATGAGCACGCTGGTCCTGCAGTCAATATGCAGCCCACAGTGATTCTTGTCAACAGTTTTTAGAGGCTCTCATGTCTACCTTAGTTCGACACCCCTGGACAAACAATTGCTCTGCTCCCTTCGGCCCCAAATCCATGTAATCTAAGGCTCCTCGACACCTGGGATTCACATTTCTAAGCAAAGGGGAGCCTGGAGCCCGCCCATCTTTCCAGACTGACTTCCTGCTGCTCTGCCCCACGTTCCACATTCTACCTCACCTTGCCCGCCTGATGTGCCCGATGTGACACTCTGTCCCCCACATGGTTCGCTGCCTTTGCCAAGGCGTCCGCCCTGCCTGAGATGGTCCACCTCTTAGGCTCCTCCCTCCGTTTTAAGGCGAGGTCCAAGGGTCTACAGGTGTCTACCACCACAAAAATGCTGCTACAAATACTGGAACCCGTGGAACATTCCCTTCCCTCCTCACCACCATCCCAGCATTTAACCTCCTGGGAGGACACGCATAATCTGAACTTTCATGTTGCTGCCCATAAGCATATTAGGCATATTCAGAAATTCACGCCAGTGTCTTCACATGATTGCATAAAAATTGCCTCAGTACAAGTTACAAAGAGGAGTAGCAAGACAGCAATAGTATTTTCATAATTAGTTGAGCTACTTCTCCTGGACTTGTGATTTCATTTGCATAGGAAACTCTCCAGTGAGGAACTGATCTCAATCAATGCAGGGCAACACATTCTCTGGAACTTGGAGTCTAACCAAGGTGCCTGGAGCCATGAGGGGCCCCCCTGCTGGGATACGACACAGTAGAGCTTGAAACCTGGTCTTCCCAGCTCCAGGGTGAGCTCTCTGGATGCTTCCTGCAGCCTGATGCTAACACTAAAAATATTCAAGTGATCCTCTGAATCACAGATCTGACTTTTCCTGCATCACCACAATGGATGGGGGTTCTAGGTTCTTCTAGTTCTTCATAACTGATTATTTGCTCAAATACACACTGCCGCGCCCCCCCCCATGCTGCCTATTCCTTAGCTCCATTTTAGTTGGAATCAGTGGCCTTCATGTTCTAATGTTTTCAAACACTTAATGTTCAATAATATTTAAGCGTAAGATTTTAAATAAATATTCTCTAGTGGCTTCTAGACACACTAAGGAAGATATATGAAGAGAAGAGAAAGAGCCCCTCAGTGGACTTACGTTTTGGCCGTGACGTCCACGTACTGTCCCGGGCGGAAGTGAGCAGCATACAGAGGTGTGCCTTTAGAAAGGAAAAACTTTCCATGAGATTTCTCAACCCGGAAAACAAATTCATATCCAGAATGTTCCCTGAGTTGTCCCACCAAGCCTCGGCTGCCCGCTTATCCAGAAGAGGCCATCTGCTTTGGGGTCCACTCCTTCTACTGGTGAGACCCTCCAGCAGTCTCCATTCAAGGGTGTACCAGGCCAACTGGCCTTCCCTCCTCTCTGGGCTCCACACTGGATTCTCCAGCCTTGGCCGCCACGCTCCCACAAAAAGTACCTCCCCCTCCCTCAAGGGCCAGGCCTGTCTTGGTTTTTCTTGTGTTAGATGCACATTAAGTGTTTAATAAATGATTATTGTCATGACCATACTATACAGAGAAAGCCTAGCCACCGGCAAATCCCAAACAAAAATGAATTATACCTATACACCAGCTGTGTTTCTGAAAACATGCACAAAAATAAAAAGTACTAAAGAAATTGTTTATTCAAGAGAACTCTGTGATGAATCATTTTAAAAAACAAGACTTATTTTGTAATATGATATGAAATATCACCCCAAGCATTTTTAAAAATCAACAATTGCCTTTTAGGAGAATTATCTAATTTTTGATGCAAATTCACCAATTAGCCACCAAGATTTACAGAGCACTTTTGTTCTCAGCATCACGAGAGGTACTCAGAATCACAGAACCTGGTTTCTGCCTCAGCTAGCTCTGATTTCATTGATGTGGTTAATCTCTCTGAAGAGACACATCCAAAAGAAGCCACTCACAGCTTCCCACCAATCTTTGATAAAAGTCCAGCCCAGCATGCCCAGGGGCCTTGCTCTGGATATCCTGCCATCATACAGATACCAAAAGAGGAAGCAGGCTGCCCAATGGTTATCCCCCTCTCATTGTGGGACTGGCCCACCTCTTTTACTGGCCATGTGTCTGTCTGATGTTATCTGACGTGTTTGATGCCATTTCGACCAGGCCATTCTTTGTTGTGATATGCTACAACCTATTCATGCCCACCAAATGCATTCCCTAAGTGCCTTCTACGTGCCAGCCACTGGGCGTACCAATACAACCAATGAAATAACGCTTACTCATGAGGAACTTACGTTCTGATTGGGAGACAACAAGGGAGACCCACAATGTGAATTAAATACAACTAAATGCAAAGTAGTTGAACACAAAGTCATTGGAGAGGAAAGGTTCTAATGCTTGATGGGGTCTGGAAAGACTTGGAAGCATACCTTCTACACTATGGAGAAGCTGCTGCTTGAGCTGCTCATCGAGGGAAGTCAGAGATTCTATGGGGTGGATATGAGAAGGGAACTATGTTCTTTGGGGGTCCTAAAATTTCAATTCTTTAGAGCAGAGATGTCAAACTTGGAGCAGGTAAAACTTCCAAGTGTGGCTGGAACCAGATTAAAATGTAATTGAGAAGTATTTAACAAATAAATATACAGGACAACACAGCTAATGTTAACTTGAGGTTTTATAAGTCAATCTGTGGCCTGCAAGAATCATACCACAGTATGATGTTCTATGACTCCCAGTCATACATAATTACTTGAACAACTGTCCTGGTGCAGGCTGCTTATAGTAGCTAGATGGCTGGACCTGGAGTCAGGAAGACCTGAATTCAAAGCCAGATCACAGTTACTAGCTGTGTGACCTTGGACAAGTCACCTAATCTGTCTGCCTCAGGTTCCTCATCTGTAAAATGTAATAGCACCCATCTCTCAGGGTGGTTGTGAGGATAAAATAGAATATTTGGAAAGTGCTTTGAAAATCTTGAAGCACTATATAAATTCTAGTTATTACTACTATTGTTGTTGTAATTTAAAAAACAGGTCTTTGTTTCAGGGAAAACGAATTTTTCCAAGGCAATTTGGCCTGTTCTCCCCTAGGGCCTTTTCATGTGTTAGCCCAGTTCACCGTTTGTCCGCCTTCATCTGCCCAAGATATTCACGTACTGATAGAAAAGCCCTGCCGGCTGTCTATCTGTCTGCTAATCAGAAACCGGGCAACAGGCATCCTCCACCCACTTTGTTTTTGCTGTGGATGGAGTCAGCCTGAAGTTCTGTAATGCTCCTAGGCTTGATGTAATCATTAGCACACAATCAGGGACAAGCAGGTCTGTGCTGGATGGCCTCCCCAATAACAAGGAACAACTTTGGAGAGCAAGAATCTCACTGTTTTGTGTCTCATTCGATAAAGAGAGGATCAAACAAAACTCTCCATTTGTTACATCTTTCAAAGCATCTTACACAATTCTGACATCAATGAGAATTCTCTTAATGGAGGAGAACCTTTTAATAGAGCATTCTGTTCTAAGGGATCAATTGTTTCTTTGGAGTCCAACAATAAGCCCCATGGGATGCTGCATTCTTGGCAGGCCATGGGATTTTGCAATTTCCTCCCCATGGGATGTCTCCTCCATGACAGAGTGAGCTCCTTGAGAGTAGGCCTGTCTGCTCAGTGAACCATTTGCACACGGAGTGAGTGCTTAAAAAATACTGCATTCACTGGTACCTTTCAGTCAGCCTTGTGGTCTGCTCTTGAAAGCCATAAAACAATTTTCTGACTTTTCTCTTCTATACTTTCAAGGTTAGTTTCAATATATATGTATATTAGTCTCAAAGATTTTTGTAGAGGTGGTAAGTAGGCATATGGGTCAATATTTTACATTTTTTCTTTTTGGCAACAACAAAATTCACACTCTTTCCCAAGCTGTTCATATCTTTCTGCTTCCTGTATCTTCAGAATCAATCCTTCAACACTTTCAAATTCCTGTTGTCTCTAGTATGGACTTCCTCCTCTGCGCATATTTCTTCTAGCCCAGGGGCTTTCTATTTTTATTTTCTTAGGTACCATAGCTCACTGGAGTCGGAGTGCAAATGTGGTTGTTCTACCATCCGTGATAAAGAAAACAGTAATTTAAGGATTGATCTTCATAGATTTTTTCCCCTCTACTTTGTACTCTCGGTTTCATCCTTAATTAGATGTTTTCTAGATGACTAGGTTAGTTGGACATTGCAGGAGAGCTTTGCAAACGTGCCTTTTCTCTCCACTATTTCTCATTATTTTGAGATGACCCTGTATGTAACCTAATCTTTCATCATCCTTTGTAAAAAACCAAGTTCATCTTTTAACTCATTTGCTACTGGCTGTCATTTTATTCAGTTTTGCCAGAAAGGACTCCTTTTTTTTACTGTTTGAGGTGATTTCAAAGTTCTTTTGATTTCATTATGGCAATGGACTGAAAACAGTTTAACTTCTAAGGAAACAGTATCATCTGTGTTGGCATTTATTATTCTATCTACTTCCTATTTTTTCAGCTTCAGTAGCATTTAAAAATAGATCAAGTTGGAGTTCTCAATTGAATGGCATATCTCAATTTTATTCTTCCTTTTAATTTAGCATTTATCTTGACATCTGTGCTAACAAGTTGATGATCTGACCATACAGAGCTAATTCAGAAATGACTTACATCAGTAACTAGTTATTTTCTGAGGGTTAAGATATGATTAACTTCAGTTTTGCGATATGATCTAGAACTCACTATATCTGATACCTCTAAAATCTCTGCTTGAATGAGAGGCTTCTATATTGTCTCCTTAATAAAAGGATTTGTTCTGTAAAACCTGGACTCAGACAAGAGGCCGAACCCAAGGGCCTCGAGGCCACGAGGCCACCAGTTCCCTGGCTAACCCCGTGTCAACCTAATTGGGAAATGTTTAATAAAACGAATAAAAGTACAGTGCAACACAGATAACGTTAATCAATATGCAGCCTGCCCAAAACTCTTTCTATTAGAATTTGATACCCCTATTAAATATCCTTAGCCTCTCTCATTTTTTGCTCCAGACTCTTGTTTCACCACCCATGTTTTCTACCCTTTCTCCTCACGCCCTTTGTGCTGATATCAAGGAGTGGAGACTCTTATCAAGCCTTAGTAGAATTTTTCTACTTCCTCATTCTCAGCAAGCTTTATTGAAGTCAAACTGTCTTCCTAGCTATTTCCAGTCATCTAGAGGCCCAGTCTGATTGCCTGTTGATCCATCTTTTAGATGTTAAGACACCCCCTCTTTCATCTCCACCTCATTGGCCTAATTACTTTCAAACTATTCATTTAATGGAACATCCTAACATATAAATGATGAACTTCAAAAATTAAATGCTGCTTTTTAGAATGGCTTTTCCACATACGTAGCTCTCAGTACTGCAGAAAGCAGTATTCCTCCTGTTATTAAAAATGACGTTTGCTATAAAATGCCCCAAGGAAAAATAAAAATTTAATTTGTCTCTTGTGATTAAATCATGTAAATTTTATATATATGAATAAATGTTTAGTGTCTTGTACTTTGCTCGAATTTTACCAAAAGGACTGGCATCAAACCAATTATGCTTCAGGTATTTTCATCTCCCCTACAATTGACTACAAATCACCTCAATTAATCAATAAACATTTATTAAATGCCTACTATGTGCAAAGTACTGTGCGAAGCGCTAGAATTAATTCTTTAGTTACCTGGTTTAATGATAGCATTATCAGTCACATGAAATGATGAGAATTTCTGTTTTGGCGGCACTCCAACGTCTCTGTACATTTTCATTAACGATTCAGATTTCTAGGAGGAAAAAAGTACTCATTAAGGGACATAAAGCACATGAGATGAGTATTCAACTAAAGACATATACTAGGCTAACACCGCCCATGACACTAAGCCACTTTTCTACTGCCCTTCTTGACCGTATAGATCTCCAGGCAGAGGGCACCTGAGAGTTATTTAGCCAACTCCCAGATTCTAAGGGGGTCAAAGGAGAACTCAAAAGCAGGTGCCAAGAGCTGGCTCCACCCTGACAATGCTGCATCCCTGGTCCTCCTCTCCAGCACTGGCTATACCTTCTCTCACAGACCTTGAACCACTTGGCCTAGAAGAGCAGCTGGAAATCTTTTGCTCCCCAGCACCATTTTGGACTCTCCCATACACTCCCAAAGGCAGTGACCTCTCCTTCGCTGAGATCCAGTCATGAATGCTGTGGGGGGCTGTACACTGCCCCCTTTTCTGCTCATTCTCTCTTCTTTCTCCAGCTCAGCTGTGGCTCACATTCTGCACTAAGAGACTTCAAGATTTCCAGCTTCCCAATTCCTCAACCCCCTTCAATTCCACAACCTTCTTTACTCCACCTCAGCCACACCTAAGAATGATCACACCTGGATGATACTGTTTCTCACAAATGTTCTCTTTAATTAACTTCCTTACTTAGAAACTCTGACAGCTTTCTGTTTGACCCAAATTACCTTTCACTCCATGTCTCTATCCTTCACCCTTCCTATTTTTGCCCTCATCAATAAGTCGATAAGCATTTATTAAGCACCTACTATATGCCAGACACTAGGGATACAAAGAAAAGTAAGACAGTCCCTGTCCTCAAGGAGCTCACAATCTAATGGGGAAGATAACAAGTACACACACACACACACACACACACACACACACACACACACCACACACACCCCCCAAGCTATGTACAAAATAAATAGAAAATACTTAACAGGGAGAAGCCACTAGAATGAGGAGGGATTGGGAAAGGCTTCCTATAGCTGGGCTTTTCATTGGGACTTAAAGGAAGCTCAGTAGTCAGAATGAAGGAGGGAGAGCACATTCCAGGCATGGGATCCAGCCAGAGAAAATGCCTGAAGCTGAGGGATGGAGGGTCTTCTTTGTGAAAAAGAAAAGGAGATAAGTGTCACTGTATCAAAGGAGACATTCACAGGTGTAAATGAGAGGGCTGGAAAGGTGGGGGAGGAGGGAGTTTGAGGGCCTCCATGAAGGGCTTTGAATATTAAAAAGAAGATCTGTATTGGGTCCTGGAAGTGACAGGAAGCCTCTGGAGTTAACTGAGTAGAGGGGTGATGTAACTGGACCTGCACTTTAGAAAATCACTTTGGTGGCTGAATGGAAGATGGACTGAGTGGGGAGACTTGAGGCAGGCAGGCCCCCCAGCAGCTATGGCAATAGCCCAGGTGGGAGGTGATGAGGACCTGCACCAGAGTGGGAACAGGGTCAGAGGAGAGGAGGGGGCGTATCGGAGAGATGTGGGGAAGTTGAAATCGACAGGCCTTGGCAGCAGCTGGGATTTGGGGGTGATAGTGAGGAGTCCAGGACGACCCCTAGGTTGTGAGCCTGACGGACTGGGAGGAGGGTGGTGCTCTCTACAGTAATGGGGAAGGTAGTAGGGAGGAGGGTCTGGGGGAAAGACAATGTTTTGGATACAGTGAGTCTAACAAGTCTACTAGACGTCCAGTTTGAGATGTCTGAAAGGCAGTTGGAGTTGTGAGAATGGACATCAGCAGAGAGACTGGGGCAGGATGGGTAGATTTGGGAATCATCAGCGTGGAGATGGTCATTAAATCCATGAGATCACCCAGTGAAATACTAGAGAGGGGAGAAGAGAAGAGGGCCCTGGACAGGGCGTCAGAGCCCTGCAAATCCTTCCACTCCATCAGCCCTTTCTCAGCCATCACCAGGGTTCTGGCTTCCCTTTCTTCCTTTTCCAATCTTGGCATCCCCATTGGCCGTTTCAACTCCACACTGTCCTCTGCTCTAAAATGCCCCTTCTTCCTGTTGCTGCTTGGTTTTTTGTTGTTTTTTTTTTAGCCAGACCTCAACCCAGGCCTCTTCTCCCTGCTTCCTTTGCTTCTACTCACACCTGACACAGCTAGTCTCCAAACGGTGTTTCCTGGGTCCATTATAAATCCTGGTTCTCCAGCTTCATCCAAGCAGCCCTCTCTGGTCCATCCGTTCCCTGGGAGCTCTTACCACACACAGCTACAACTCCCTCTCCTCACATTCTCTTCATTTTAAAAGCTCCTGCCTCCTTTCTTCTGCAGTCTCTCACAGGAGGCGGCCCTTCTCTTTGTTTGGGCCATCCCTTCACCCTCTCCCTCTCATATTCTCCAGCAGGTTGCTACCCTAACCATCTTCGACCTCTCCTATGTACTGTCCCTCCCCTATCGGCCCTTGTCTCTCCTCTCACAGACAGCACCTTTCAGGAGCTCAAAGCCTCTTGCCAAGATTCTTGCAGCAGGCTTCTGATTGGTCTCCTGCCTCAATCTCTCATCACTTCAGTCCATCCCACCCAAGCATGCTAAAGTGATTCTCTCTTCAGTGCAGATGGAGCACATCATTTCCCTGCTCAGCCACCTCCAGGGGCTCCCTACTGACCTGCCTTCAGAACCAGGCCTGAACGACCTCTCTAGCCTCATTGGACATTACTTCTCTCAGCAATCCATCCAGACCAGCCTCTCAGTTCCTGTTTCTGCAGAGTCCATCTCCTATGCATGTAAAGCACTCCCCCCTCACCTCTGCCTCAAGAAACCTTTCCTTCAAGACTAGCTCAAGCACTGCCTTCTACTGGAAGCCTTTCCTAATCCCTCCAAAGGATTCCATATTTATTTCCAGATGGTGTTCACTTCCACCTGACCTTCATTTTAGCCTGTCCTGAACCAGGCCATATAATAATGATAACAACAGTAACAACCAGCATTTATATACACTTTGGGGCAGCTAGATGGTGCAGGGGTTAGAGTGCCAGGCCTGGAGTTAGGAAGACCTGAGTTCAAATCTGGCCTCGGACATTTACTAGCTGTGTGACCTTGGGCAAGTCACTTAACCCTGTTTCCTCATCTGTAAAAGAGCTGGAGAAGGACATGGCAAACCCCTCCAGTATCTCTGCCAAGAAAACCCCAAATGGGGTCACCAAGAGTCAGACACAAATAAAACGACCCAGCAAGTACAGCACTTTAAGGTTTGCAAAGTACTTTACAAACATTACTTCATTTTACCCTCACAAAGATCTTTAAGAGATGGGTACTGTTGTTATCTCCACATTACACTAGGAAATGGGTCAAGTGACCTTCATAGGGTCACATGGCTAGTGTCAGAGGCAACACCTGAACTCGGGTCTTCCTGACCCCAAAGTCAGCCAATTAGGCACCATTTTTTACACCACATTTTCTCTTCTCTGCCCTTGGGCTCTAGGAAGCAGGCTGCCAGCTCCTTCCCAATTCAGCACAGTATCTATCCACCCTGCTTCTCCATACAGGATGTGCAGAAACTGTGATAAAGAAAGTTAAGATATTTCTGTGAACTTAAACTAGAAATTAATTCATTTGGGTTAATCTCCATTTTGGGGATGCAAATAAGATTACTGGCCATCCATGTGTTTGTTAGTTTCTTTAATCAAATCAAAACCTATATGAGATCCCCTCTCCCCCATCTCTAATTCCCCTTCTGTCCTTTTTCTTCTAATTCCACCTTCACCATCTATAGTCAGATTCTCCACAGATAAGGTCCTCTGAATGCTCCTGGTGTGCAGGTGATATTGTGCTGGTGGGGCCCAGAACACTGCAGACCCTCTGGAATAAGTCTGGTTTGTCAGTCTCCGTAGGAGACTCCACAGGAAATGCCAAGTGGTCCAAAACATCTACTGCCCTGATTAGGACGCATAGGGAGTTGGCTAACAGAGCAGCTGGGCCAGAAGCCAGGAAGACCTAAGTTCAAATTCAGTCACAGCTGTGACACTTCACCTCAGTTTCTTTCCTCATCTGTAAAACTGGGATAATATACCCAAGCCAGGAAGAGTCAAAACAGAGAAAGAAAATTATAGACCAATTTCTCTAATGAATATGGAGGCAAAAATTTTAAACAAAATACCAGCAAATAGATTACAGCAACTTACCACAAGAATAATACACACTATGACCAGGGAGCATTTATATCAGGAATGCAGGGTTGGTTCAATATTAGGAAAACTATCAGCATCATTGAGCATATTAACACGAAAATCAACAGAAACCACATGATCATCTCAATAGATGCAGAAAAAGCTTTTCACAAAATACAACACCCATTCCTATTAAAAACACTAGAAAGCATAGGTATAAATGGAGTCTTCCTTAAAATAATAAATAGCATCTATTTAAAACCTTCAGCAAGCATTATATGTAATGGGCACAAGCTAGCAGCATTTCCAATAAGATCAGGGGTGAAACAAGGATGTCCACCACTGTTATTCAATATTGTACTGGAAACATTAGCTTTAGCAATACGAGAAGAAAAAGAAATTGAAGGTATTAGAACAGGCAAAGAAGAAACAAAGCTATCACTCTTTGCAGATGATATGATGATATACTTAGAGAATCAAGTAAAAAACTACTTGAAATAATAAACAACTTTAGCAAAGTTGCAGGCTACAAAATAAACCCACATAAATCATTGGCATTTCTATATATTACCAACAAAGCCCAATAGCAAGAGATAGAAGAGAAATCCATTTAAACTTACTGTAGACATTATAAAATATTTAGAGTCCACCTCCCGAAACAAACCCAGGAACTCTATGAACACAATTACAAAACACTTTTCACGCAAATAAAATCAGAGCTAAATAACTGGAAAAATATCAGCTGCTCAGGGGTAGGCTAAGCTAATATAATAAAAATGACAATCCTACCCTAAGTTACTTTACTTATTCAGTGCCATACCAATCAAACTACCAAGAAATTATTTTATAGAGTTAGAAAACACAACAAGATTCATTTGGAAGAACAAAAGGTCCAGAA